ATGTGTGCTCCAATTTTCCAATTCACATCAGGAAGATTAAAGTCACCCATGATGATAACTTCCCCCTTCATTGTCATTTTAGCTATTTCCTCAACTAGTAGATTATCTAACTCTTCTTTTTGTCCTGGGGGCCTATAAATCACACCTACACAAGTTACTGTGTGATTACCAAATTCTAACATAACCCAAATGGACTCTATGTTCGCCTCACTAACTTTTTTTAGGCTAGATTTTATGCTATCTTTAACATACAGAGCCACCCTCACCCTTTCTTGCCTTCCCTGTCTTTTCTATATAAAGAGTACCCTGGTATTGCTAAGTCCCAGTTATTTTTCTCATTATACCATGTCTCAGTAACAGCGACTAAATCTACACTATCATTTGCCATTATTTCCACAAGTTCATGGATCTTATTCCCTAAACTGCGAGCATTTGTAGACATGACTCTAAGCTTACCCTTTTGCCCCCCCCTCCTAGTTTAAATACATCCTAGCAAAACCTCTGAACTGCTCACTAAGAACATTTGTTCCCTTTTGAGAAAGATGCAAACCATCTTTTTTGTACAGCTTATCTCCATTCCAAACAGAGCTACCATGAGAAATAAAGCCAAATCCTTGCTCCCGACACCATTCACCAAGCCACAAATTAAAGTCCCTAATACGCATCCGCCTGTCGTTCTGAGTGTTATGCACAGGCAGAACTTCAGAGAATGACAGTGTGGAAGCAACCTGCCGTATATCATTGGTAAAAACACTAAAAACTTCCTTAACCTCTGAAACCTCATTGCAAGCCAAGTCATTTGTCCCTAGATGGACAAGTACATCCAATTCCCCTTCCTGCTTTGCTTGCTTAACATTATTACAGATACGTCTCCTGTCTCTGTGAGCAGTAGCTCCGGGAAGACACCTCACAAGACCACCATTGTCCATCTCCACACCTCTTATAATGGAATCCCCCAACAACAACTGCTTTCTATTAGACCTCACCATAGTCTCCAAGCCGGTCTCCACAACACCACTAGCCTCAGTGCCTCTCTCCACAACACCACTAGCCTCAGTGCCTCTCTCCACAATACCACTAGTCTCAGTGCCTGAGCCTGTCTCCACAACACCACTAGCCTCAGTGCCTGAGCCGGTCTCCACAACACCACTACCTTCAGTGCCTGAGCCTGTCTCCATAACACCATTAAATACCGAAAATACAATCTAAAAATTGGGAAAAGAAATAGCAAGTAATGGTGCAGGATTTAAGACGCCAGAAAAAGCGCTGAACTAAAATGCACTCACAAAATGGTCATTGACCGCAGGCAAAGAAGTGATTTATAGATGAAAGGAGCTCATTCCTCTTCTCTTTTGTCCTTAAGAGGGATTTAAGAGAGAGACACAGACATAGTGCACCAATAAAATAATATGTTTAAAATGTATTTAGATTGCACTCACAAGACGTATGATTAAATCCAGCATATCACAATGTTGTTCTTGTCCAGACAGAAACATGAAGGAGATCCCTTAAGGTCGGAAACAGAAAACGGAATAGCCAAATAAAAACACAATTTACAAATAAACACAAAAAATAAATAAATATAAACCAGTTAAAGATAAGTTCAAGTGCTGTATGGGTCTCTCCGCCCTAAGCGTTTCATCCTATCGGACTTAGTCAGGGGAAATTGTGGATGTATCCTGATCTCCTCTATTCATCTTTTAAATGTTGTTTTTGCGCCTTTTCAGTGCCGTTCTGATGGCGATATGAAAATTTGAATCACCTAGATATGTATGCGTTCCACACTCCTTGATTCTGCGTTTCACTGAGAGAAAAAGCTTCTGGTATCGCTTGGAACGCACCGTGTGTTCCAAATCGCAAACCGGAAGTCCAAGTGTAAGTCCAGATTCATACAATAATAGGATTCAATCGTATATAGAAACAAAAAACATAAAATAAAATAAAACAGGGTATCATTAATTTATCAAAATTGAATAAACCTAATAACCTCATACTTCTAATAACCAATAATAATTCAATAAAACGAATGTTGCTAATAATATGAAAAACACCTTAAAAACTGTGAAGTATCTGTAGAAACACCAAAAAATATGCATACATTTTTTTTAATAAAATATAGAATCAAAACCATGTGCTGAGCACGATAGTATCCAAACTGGGACATATATTTATCATAAGCCCTATAGTATAAATATAACAATAAAAGCTAATATTGCATAAAAAGGTTATGTAACAAGAAGAATCTCAGTGAGAAAATAAGTGACCACAAAAAAAGAAGAAAAGAGAGAAGTCCTCAACGGGGGAGAGAGGGGTCAGAGGTCGGGCATGGTAAAAAATGTGTAAAAAAAAAAAGTGGTAAAAAAAGTTATGAAAAAAAAAAAGACTATAAAAAACATACCATGTCGAACTCCCCATTTAGACCTATCGGAGTAAAAATGTAAAAAAAAAAATTTAAAAATCCAATAACCCTCTCTGTCTTAATTTCTTAATTAAATCCCCACCTCTATCGTTGAGGACGATCCTCTCCGCACCAGTACATAAAAAAAGTTTCAAAATTAAAATGTGGGCAGTTATTGCAGTGAACAGGAACTGAGTGTGTTTGCAAATTTTTCCTTATGTTGTTACAATGTTACAAAAACCTCACTTTCAATGCTCTACTTGTCCTATCTACATTTTGAATGCCACATCCACATGTTAGTAAATAGACTACATTGGTGCTGTGGCAGTTGATGTAATCTTTAATTTCAAAAGTCTCCCCTGTTTTTTACTTTTAAAATAATCGCTTTTCTTTGGAAAAAACCTACAGGCCTTACATCTCCAACATTTATGGAACCCTTTTAAAGTAGTGTCTTTAGTGTTTTTTGTTCTAAAAGTACTCAGGGCCAGTAAATTCTTAAAGTCTCTACTTTTTTTTAAAAAATCATTTTTGGGAATGTTGATATCTGATTACTTAAAAATTCATCATCCAATAGCAGAGGCCAATGTTTCTGTAAGACCTTTTTAATCTGCGGAACATGGGCGTTATATTGGGTGATGAAAGATAAGCCAAAAGATTCATTAGAATCATGTAGCTTTATCCATTAACAAATGATTTCTATTTAGATCTTTACATCTACCTATTTACTGATCCAAAAAAGAAGGGGAATAACCTTTTTCGATAAATTTATTTTTTAAGATCGCAGATTGTTCCATAAAATGATTTACATCTGTGCAGTTTCTTTTCAATCTTGTAAACTGGCTACGGGAACACCACGTAGCCAGTTGGGATGATGGGCACTTCTTGTATGGATAAAATAAATAGTATCGGTTGGCTTAAAATATGTCTTCGTTTTAATGTGGAATACTCTATATAGATTTGATAAATCCAGAAAATTAATGACGAGAATTCATTTCTGGAGTAAAAACTAAGGACTGATCGTTATTACTATTGATAAAAATAAAAAAAAATATTTTAATAAATCCATAGAACCTTTCCAAATAATTAAAATATCATCTATATATCTCCGCCATAGCACCAAGTCCGCACCAAAAGGGTTGTTATTCCAGATGTTCGATGCCTCCCAGTTATCCATGAAAATTTTTGCATAACTGGGTAGATAGTAACCCAATCCCTCTGCTCATGAATAGTACCCCAATCCTCCTCCCCATAGATAGAACCCCAATCCCTCTCCTCATGAATAGTACCCCAATCCTTCTCCTCATAGAAAGTACCCCAATCCCTCTCCTCATGAATAATGCCCCAATCCTTCTCCTCATGAATAGTACCCCAATCCCTTTCCTCATAATTAGTACCCCAATCCCTCTCCTCATGAATAGCACCCCAATCCCTTTGCTCATGAATAATACTCCAATCCCCCTCCCAATAAATAGTACCCCAATCACTCTCCTTATGAATAATACCCCAATCCCTCTCCTCATGAATAGTACCCCAATCCCCCTCCCCATAGATAGTACCCCAATCCCTCTCCTCATGAATAGTACCCCAATCACTCTGGAAATAAATAGTACTCCAATCCTTCTCCCCATAGGTAGTACCCCAATCTACTATAAACTGACTAATTTAGAGAGGTACAGATTCTCCTAATTTACCCCACTCCAGCCCAATCCCAGCCAGCTGCCCTTTGACTCATGACGTCACTTCCCCGCACGGAGCTGTCCTGAGCAGTACATCAGGCAGCATGCATGCATGTCCATGCGGCTGCATTCTATCACTTGACAGAGGCTCTGCTCAAAGTGCCTCTGCTGGGTACATTACAGCCAAGTCCTTCCTTTGCACTGAGGTTCACACCCATAAGTCTGGCCCTGAAGAGCATATTTGAATGACCTGCCAGCCCCACGTGCTGCGGCCCACCTGGAAATTTCCAGATATCCTGGTGGGCCAGTCCAGCTCTGGTTGGGTAGCTGCTGTCTCTTTAAATTGTAAATAATACAGATTAAGGAACTTCACACACATAAAAATACAGTTTCCAATTTTACAAGTCTATTGAAATTCACCTAACTTGCCAAACATATATTGGGATGCAGTCCCACCATATGGCAATAATGTGTTTCACCGACCACTACTTCACAGTACTTTAATATCGGTGGGTCCTACACTAATATATATAATGCTAAATTAATGGGATAAAAACAGAATTCCAAAAAATAGAGCAGGAATATCCAAAAAAGGTTTCAACCATTACTCTCCTGTTGGATGTGGGTCCTGAGACTTATAAAACTGGGATAAGATAATATTAATGTCTCCATTACTGACCGGTTCATATCTCCATATATGGACAGGTGTAGTGACATCATAAACACTCTGACATCATCTGATGAAACAGTCAATGCCAAATTCACCTACCCTCAGAGTGACTGGACACCTTGCGAGTGGACAGTGGCTACTGCATTGCATGAGTGCAATTTTCAATAATTTATTTATTGTTACTATTATTTATTAGCTGATTTCTAAATATATTTGTGAATTTGAAAGCAATAGATTCACACAGTATAATATAAGCATGAAGAGAACAAGAAAGCGTTCTCATAAGAAAACTGAGGTAAGTCAGGAAAATTCTGACGAATTAAAAATAAAATATAGAAAACTCAGTAACGGCTCAAAAGAGCAGGAACAGCGGATATCTCCTGGACATTCCAGGAAAAAGAGAAGTAGGAGCTGCAATGAGCAGGACATTGAGAGAGGGAGAGAACCCAAAAGACGGCTCCTTGCTGAGGAACGCATCAGATATCATGGTCAGAAAAGATCCAGGACCTCCAGTCATGATGAAGAGGAGCAGGTCATGCAGAAAAGAGCAAAGCTCTCCAAGTCTCCCAAACTGGGTCAGAAAAGTGAGAGAAAGTCTGCTGTAAAGAGCGATCAGACATCTCCACCCAGAAAGCAAGCCCTGAAACGAAGCAGGGAATACCATCATGGGGAGCAGCTCATGCAGAAAAGACCAAAGCTCTCCTCATCTTCAAATCAAGTCCTAAAAAGAAGCAGGGAATATGATGAGGAGGATAAGGAACAAGTTAGACAGAAAAAGATAAAGATCTCCTCTGGAAAGCAGGAAGAGGAGAAAAGACATAAGCAGGAGATAGGAGAGAAAAAGCGCTTTAAGAAAGAAAACAAGTCAACGAGCGACGATGAATGTGTGGCAGGTAGGATGAACATACAAGATTTAAAGAGATCGGCCAATTTAAAATATTAGAGAGTTTACCCTCAATTGACCATACTCTGAACCCATTCACTACCATGAGTGGTCAGGCGATGGTTTTTTAAACTATAATGGTGCAGACCAATATTTCAGGACCTTTGATATATCTAGAATATTTATCCATCCATTAGGAATTAGCCAATGATATTCATGTGTAATGTACCAAAAACTAAAAAGTCTTTTTAATGAAATTAAGTTGGTTCCTGTGTTTATGTTGAAGTGGAGACTAATATTAAATGTGTTCCTTCTTTAAGGAGTAAGTGGACAGTCTGTGGTTGAACCAAAGAAGTCACTGCCTCTGTCATTCACCGGTTATAGATTCCACAAAGTGCTGGGACAGGGGAGTTATGGAAAGGTGAGTCAACGAGCAATGTATACACATTATTTAATACATCTATTGATCTAGTAGGGAACAATTATAGGTCTCATAATCATCATTATCTTCCTATAACAATTCATTGAGATTAACTTTTTCTTATAAATCTGTGTATCATCCATGAATGTGGAAAACATATTAACATCTGCAAAGTATTTAGAACATTTTATTGAGACTCCAAATAAAATCTCCAGGACTCTTGTATTCTGTGATGTTTAATTAACATGGTTTCTTATACTAACAGTTCTATTAAATCTTCTTAAATTATTTTTATTAAACAATTATTGAAAAACATATTGTTAACAATATGGAACAGAAATCAAAGACAAGTAAACAATTGAATTATGAATAATGAAACGCAGGTGAGGGTAAAAAAATAAAGAAAAGAAGACGATGGGTTCCATCCATAGATACATGAAATACAATTCTCAAAGTTGCACAAAATACTATGTGGAGTTCTATTGAATCTTTGTATCTTTCTCTAAACTCTTATTATTCACATTAGAATTGCAGACATAGGTATCGATTTAATGTTTGGGTAAGCTTTTCAAATGATCACAATCTCTTTTCCAATAATTTATCTACAGAAGTCATTACAGTCTACAGGGCAATTTTGTAGATAAATCATTTATATATTTTTTCTAACAGATTGTGAACATTTGATTATCAAAGTTTATCAAAACATATTAAATTGAGACCTTAGCTAGGACCCAGATCTATATATATCCCTTACACAGCAATCATTCTCGATCTCTGAATATTTCTATATCCCTTATATAGGGTTCTCAGGTAGGTCCCTGAGCTATGTATATATTAATATCCCTGATATAGGGTTCTCAGGTAGGTCCCTGAGCTATGTATATATATTCCTTTATATCGGGTTCTCAGGTTGGTCCCAGAGCTATGTGTATATATATATATATATATATATATATATATATATGTAAAAAACAGATAAAATTCTTATCTTGTAATACCTTTTTTATTGGACTAACAGAATTTTTTAATGACAAGCTTTCGGGAGAACCTCCCTTTCTCAAGTGTGAAGCTTCAGACTTGAGAAAGGGAGGTTCTCCCGAAAGCTTGTCATTAAAAAATTCTGTTAGTCCAATAAAAAAGGTATTACAAGATAAGAATTTTATCTGTTTTTTACATCTACATCACTGGACTAATACGGCTACAATCTCTACTTGTATATATATATATATATATACACCCAGGGGCGGACTGGGGACACGAAGCAGCCCTGGAAAAAAAATCTATGGCAGCCCCATAAGTCATTGTGCTATGTAGTATGTGTTATATAACACACACTACATAGTATATATATACACACACACACCTATCTGTATATACACACACACACACACACACCGGTATTTACATATATATATATATATATATATATATATATATATTATTGGAATATTTATTTTTCAATTTAAAATATTAGTCCTTTTAGGGTAATTAAATTATACAGTAAAGCATACCGACATGCAGACACAGACAATCTTACTGATGCACACAAATAGGCTCATTGACAGACAATCTCACTCTTACTGGTACACACACAAATTTAGTACAGACAAACTCTGATACACACACAAGCTTACTACAGACAAGCTCACTGCACACACATGCTCACCACAGACAGGAGCAGACACACCCATGCTCCCTACAGACAAGCTCACTAACACACACAATCCCTACAGACAAGCTCACTGACACACATACAAGCTCACTCACTAGCAGACACACACACAAACTCACTAGCAGGTGCACACACACAGAAGCTCACTCACTAGAAGATGCACACACACAAAGACATCCACACACACAGAGGCAGATATCCACACACACACACACAGAGGCAGACATCCACACACACATTGACAGGCAGACAGCCACACACACACAAAAAGCCACACACACACAGACAGAGGCAGACAGTCAAACACACACAGGCAGATAGCCACACACTTACACAGGCAGATAGTCATATACACACACAGGTAGACAGTCATACATATACACACACAGGTAGACAGTCATACATATACACACACAGAGGCAGACAATCACACATTCATACATAAACACAGAGGCAGACAGTCACACACACACAGGTAGTCAGTCATACATACACACAGAGGCAGGCAGTCACACACACACACACACAGACAGTGTCACACACACACACACAGGCAGACATTCATACATAGACGCAGACAGTCACACACACAGACAGTGTCACACACACACAGGCAGACATTCATACATACACACAGACAGTGTCACACACACACACACACAGGCAGACAGTCATACATACACACAGAGGCAGACAGTCACACACACACACAGACAGGCAGACGGTCATACATACACACAGAGGCAGACACACACACACACAGACAGTGTCACACACACACACACAGGCAGACAGTCATACATACACTCAGAGGCAGACAGTCACCCCGGCCAGCCATGTGTGAGCTGTGCCGGCCGCCTGGCTCCCCCTGCTCCCATGGGGTCCTGTGCGGCCGCACAGCTCGCACATAGCCAGCCGGGATCACAGGAGCCTGATCAGTTCTGAATGAGGCTGTCAGCCCAGCCCCAGGTGCCGCGGCCCACCGGGAAATTTCCCGGTATCCCGGTGGGCCAGTCCGGCCCTGCCCTGCCCCACTGTCCCTTAGTAATTTCCCCTGTTCGTTAATGATCTCCCTGCCCCCTTTCCCGTAGTGCTCTCCCCTCCTGTCTCTTAGAGCTCTCCTCTCCTGTCCCATAGAGCTCTCCCCTCCTGTCTCCTAGTGCTCTCTCCTAGTTCCCCCACTTGGTGCGCCCCCCATCCCTTAGTGCTCTCTCCTACCCCCCAACCCTTAGCGCTCTCCCCTGTCCCTTGTCCTCTAGAGCTTAGTGGACTTTAGTGGACTCTTCCCCCTCCCCATTAGTGAATTCTTCTCCCCCCCACATTCTCCTCACTCTCCCACGCGCCCCTTGCTGACCCCCAGGTCCCAGAGCTGTGTATATATATCCCTGGATATAGGGTTCTCAGGTTGGTCCCAGAGCTGTGTATATATATCCCTGATATAGGGTTCTCAGGTAGGTCCCAGACCTATGTATATATATCCCTGATATAGGGTTCTCAGGTAGGTCCCAGAGCTATGTATATATATCCCTGATATAGGGTTCTCAGGTAGGTCCCTGAGCTATGTATGTATATCCCTGATACAGGGTTCTCAGGTAGGTCACAGAACTCTGTATATATATCCCTGATACAGGGTTCTCAGGTAGGTCCCATAGTTATGTATATATATCCCTGATGTAGGGTTCTCAGGTAGGTTCCAGAGCTCTGTATATATATCCCTGATATAGGGTTCTCAGGTAGGTCCCAGAGCTATGTATATATATCCCTGATATAGGGTTCTCAGGTAGGTCTCAGAGCTCTGTATATATATCCCTGATATAGGGTTCTCAGGTAGGTCCCAGAGCTATGTATATATATCCCTGATATAGGGTTCTCAGGTAGGTCCCAGAGCTATGTATATATCCCTGATATAGGGTTCTCAGGTAGGTCCCAGAGCTCGGTACATATATCCCTGATATAGGGTTCTCAGGTAGGTCCCAGAGTTATGTATATATATCCCTGATATAGGGTTCTCAGGTAGGTCCCAGAGCTCTGTATATATATCCCTGATATAGGGTTCTCAGGTAGGTTCCAGAGCTATGTATATATATCCCTGATATAGGGTTCTCAGGTAGGTCTCAGAGCTCTGTATATATATCCCTGATATAGGGTTCTCAGGTAGGTCCCAGAGCTATGTATATATATCCCTGATATAGGGTTCTCAGGTAGGTCTCAGAGCTCTGTATATATATCCTTAATATAGGGTTCTCAGGTAGGTTCCAGAGCTATGTATATATATCCCTGATATAGGGTTCTCAGGTAGGTCTCAGAGCTCTGTATATATATCCCTAATATAGGGTTCTCAGGTAGGTTCCAGAGCTATGTATATATATCCCTGATATAGGGTTCTCAGGTAGGTCTCAGAGCTCTGTATATATATCCCTGATATAGGGTTCTCAGGTAGGTCCCAGAGCTCTGTATATATATATCCCTGATATAGGGTTCTCAGGTAGGTTCCAGAGCTATGTATATTTATTCTTTATGTAGGTTTGTTTTAGGTAGGTTCCCAAACTCTGTATAGACATCCTTCAGGTGGTGTTGAAGTGATGTTACCACGTGATATCTGTAATATGTCCCCACTGAATGAAGTTTTAAATCACAAAGTAGCTGAAATTTCCCCTTTCGTTTGTGACATTGTGGCTGATATGAGGCTCTCTCCTCCCTCTATGTGATGCTCAGGTTGTGCTAGCTTCCACCAAGGACACAGGTCAGGTTGTTGCAATTAAAGTAATAAAGAAAGATAAAGTTAAGGAAAAGACCATTCAGAAGGAGGAACGGATACTGCAAATGGCGAGCGGCAGTCCATTCCTATGTCAGGGACTCGCTGCCTTCCAGACCCAGGTAAGAAACGCTGTCCATAATGTTTCCTTATTTCTATATATTTCTATACGGCTGATTGTGTTCTGTTATTATTATTACAATATATATATTAACTGGATATATGTTATCTCTCTTGTGAAACAGGAGGAAGCCTCCCTGGTCATGGAGTACGTACCAGGGGGCAGTCTCCGTTCTTACATGGCTGGAAAGGAATGTCTGCCCATGGGGGAAGCAAGGTGAGTCATTAATAGCTCTAGCAGGTAGGAGGAAGGAGTGAGTTTAACACACGATACAGGAATGTAAGGATATATACATATACCCTCCATAGTAGGACTATTAATGAAGATCCATCAGGGGTACAGACTGGGTTAACAGTAATGTACTAAACCAGAATTCCTCCTTCAATATCAGCCAGACAATGGGCAATACAAGAAACCCAGCTCTGATCCTATTCTATGCTCGTGTCCTATTTATTCTTTCTTTCTCTCTCTTCCCTCCCTTTTTTCCCCTCCTCCTCAGTGGTATGTCGCTCACTAGCTGAGGACGGAGAATCTTACATCCTTCTGGAATACGTGATGGCTTAAATGGTTGACGAGTTGGATAATCGGTTGATATCATGGATTCCATCTGATGATATCGTATATGACAATGCTTTCCATGGTACTTCCTGCTAGGAAAGTTACTATTGACATGCATGCCCAAACACCCATCTTTGGATATACAGAGGCAACTTAGAACTTTTTAGATGTTTTCCTTATTAATAACTAATTCTGTGTCTGTCTGAGGCATTACTGCATGTGTACACATAATTCTACCTGCTTTGTTCGATTTAAAAATAAAAATAAAGTTTGTCTAAAACAAACAAAAAAAGAAACTCAGGACTAGCAGTGGGATACGTTCTGTACTGACTGACGGCAGATCGGGAGCCACTAGGGGTCAGCTGACCTGCCGCAGCCATAAGCTGACTTCAGGGTGGATCTTCTTCTACACACTTGAAATACAAATTGCTATGACCATGGATCTTCTTAATAAATTCATATATTTATAGATTATTGATTTGTACATCTAACAAATTGGAAGAGACTCGAAGAATCATAGAGCAGCTTGTGCATTATGGTAGAGAACCGAGAAGGGTTCAATGGATAATATATCAAGGGACAGTCATGTTCCAAATTAAAACACTGATGGTTTTAATAACAATATTAATGATAATAAAGTAAACTCTAATCTCCCAAGGACAGGTCCTGTTTAGTTTAAAATGAAAATGTTATGTTTATATTGGTCGCAGAGTGTTTAGCATGATGTATAGATACTCGTACCTTGCCCAGGTATATTTTATTATTTTATTTACTATTAATGTTTGGGGGAGATTGCTTTATGTTCTTTATATTCTGTTTTCCAGGTTCTTTTCATCAAACCTTGTTTGTGGGATCCAGTATCTCCATTCCCGGGGGATCCTTCATCGGTCAGTATTAGCGATTATTTATTTAGTAAGCGGTAACTTACTCTAACAAGAAATAATGTGTTTATATCTCTGCTCTGTCCTATATCTACATTTATATATGTCTTCATCATTTAGGGATCTGAAGCCAGACAATATTCTCCTGTGTGCCAACGGCTATCTCAAAATAGCTGACTTTGGTCTCTCGGCAGAAAATATCTTTACAGATACAACAACCAGAGGACGAGCTGGCACACTGAATTACATGGCACCAGAGGTTAGTTAGAGGGTGTGGTTACGTGGAATGTAGAGGGAGGAGTTACGTGGAGTGGTATAAGAGCAATACAGTAGCTAAAGGGGTGTATAACGAGCAGTAGAAGGATGACTTACACGAGCTGGGTATAAGGGCAGTATCGGAGTATTAATGGATGGACTGACAAGAACGCTATTGGACTAGCCTAATAATAGAAAGATGGGTAATGTATGAAGATCTCTAGAATGTGATAAGTTTGGTACATTTAATACCATATTTAATAAAATTGCATATCTTATGGGTTTTGCCAGGTACTCAGCAACAATCCGTATGGCCAATCAGCAGACTGGTGGTCATTTGGCGTCATTCTCTGCCGCATGATCACCGGACAGTTCCCATTTAATACCAAGCTCAGCAGACAAGAGTACATAGAGGAAGTATTAAACATTAACCCACGTTACCCCACCTGGCTGTGCAGCAATCCTGCAGACCTCCTGGACAAGGTAAGGTGATAGAGAATGTGCCGGTTAATGTTTTAATTGGATGTAATGATAGGGGATGTAAAGAAACATTAAAGAAGATACTGGTGGAGATATGGGGGGGGGGGGCGTTACTGGGAATCAATACTAGTTATATTTATTGGAATATGTACTAAACAGGTTAAAGAACCAAGTGGAATAGTGAAAATGACTTGTTATGTTCCAGTGCTGAGAAGATTCAGTATTCCACATTCATGCCCAGGGCCGAACTGGGGATACGAAGCAGCCCTGGAAAAAAATCTATGCCAGCCCCATAGCCAGTCATTGTGCTATGTAGGGTGTTTTTATATATATATATATAGGCAATTGAAATAGTTGGCTGCACTCTCGGATTTCCTTAAAATGTAACTTTTATTGAAATATTTAAGAGAAGATCAATGTTTCAGTCCCTCTTGTGGACTTTCGTCATGATCCTGATGCAAGTCCATAAGAGGGGCTGAAACGTTGATCTTCTCTTAAATATTTCAATAAAAGTAAACTTTTAAGGAAATCCGAGAGTGCAGCCAACTATTTCAATTGCCTATATATATACTGGATACTGGAGCCCTGGTGATGCAACAATATATATATATGTATTAAGGCAGTTTTGCCTGTATTTGTGGGAGGGGCTTAAATTAATTCACTCCCCTATATAAGGGACACCCCTTACCTGACTCATATCGCTTGAGGTCAGCATCAGAATGATTTCCACTTCCGGGTCATCCAGACGCCATTTTACCTGATTACTCCATGAGGTTTTCTAAGCTGAGCTGTGTCAGGAATTCAGCCACAGGCTTTTCCGGCCTACCACCTTCTTTCTTCAATCTATCGCTGTGGATGGTGTCCAAGTGACTCACAAACCGTAAGTTGACCTACCCATTACGCCAGGCATCAGTCCCACGGCACCATGCAAGGGTCAGGTCCTCACTTTACTGCTGCATTTTGTCTAAGTCTGTTCTAAAACCATTGCATGTTCATGCATATCATTCGTTTAAACCCCCTACTGGTCTTTGGGTGTACTACAGACTTCTTAGACATTATCGCATTTCATGTACAAACCAACTAACCACTGCATCTTTGCCTACACACTGACCCCTACCGGTCATTCGGTGTACTACAGGCTTCTCAGACATTATTGCATTTCATGTACAAACCAACGAACCACCGCATTTTTCACCTACACACTGACCCCTATTGGTCATTCGGTGTACTACAGGCTTCTTAGGCGTTGTTTGCATTTTCATGTACAAACCAATAAACCACTGCATTTACACCTACACACTGACCCCTACTGGTCTTTCGGTGGACTACAGGCTTCTTAGACATTATCGCATTTCATGTACAAATCAACGAACCACTGCATTTGCACCTACACACTGACCCCTACCGGTCATTCTATGTACTACAGGCTTCTCCGACATTATTGCATTTCAGGTACAAACCAACAAACCACTTAATTTTTCACCTACACACTGACCCCTATCAGTCATTCTGTGTACTACAGGCTTCTCAGACATTATTGCATTTTATGTACAAACCAACAAACCACTGCATTTTTCACCTACATACTGACCCCTATCAGTCATTCGGTGTACTACAGGCTTCTTAGACATTATTGCTTTTCGTGTACAAAACAATAAACCACTGCATTTTTACCTACACACTTACACCTACCGGTCATTCAGTGTACTACAGGCTTCTCAGACATTATTGCATTTCATGTACAAACCAACAAACCACGGCATTTTCGCCTACATGCTGACCCCTACCGGTCAATCGGTATACTACAGTCTTCTCAGACTTTATTTCACTTCATAAGCAAACAAACTAACTACAGCATTTTCGCTTTTATACTGACTCCTATCTGTCATACGGTAGGATTAACCCCTTAGGGACACATGACATGTGTGTCATGTCATGATTCCCTTTTATTCCAGAAGTTTGGTCCTTAAGGGGTTAAAGGGTATTTTACCATACAATCAGCATTTATGACCCCTACTGGTCAACAGCAAAACTGTCTTCACATGTCATATACAATTTACCAGCCAATATAAATTACACATAAGATTGTTTTAAACCCCTTTTATTCCAGAAGTTTGGTCCTTACGGGGTTAAACATAACCATAAACCATAAATGAAACTCCATCACGGGCTCAAATTCAGGTTTAATTTACAATAATTTACATTTCACATCAAGACCAACAGTGGTTCTATCAACACTGACACCTATAGGTCAACAGACAAACAACATTTCACATACCAATCAGTATCCAACTACACTGCCACCTATAGGGCACTCGGCAGATCTCCAGTGCACTTGCATTTTGCAACACCATGTTCACTGACCCCTACCATTCAATAAGACATACAACAATTCACATAGCAAGCACTATATCAACATCAGGTATAAATACATATATTATTACACAGTAGCAGACGCGTCTGTATATACGTAACTGGTAATATAGTTCACATACATTTTTCACAGCACGCTGCTCACGCAACAGACTTTCCCCTAGCAAGGGGACATACAACATACAAGGTGGGGACAGACCACATTTTCACTTGTACATACGGCACTTAATGGGTTAAGATTGATACATATTTAACCAGTATGGCTACGATGTTTAATATTTACACATCATGGCACTTTACTTTTCACATATACTGTATGTATTAAGATAAGCTTGGTCTATGCCATATTTCCTTATGCCATACGGTTTTATCCATTCAGGTTACAGTTACTACTAAAAAACCTACACGGATTGTCAGGTTCAATACCATACTACCAGGTACATACACCTGCTCACGTAGTTATCCATCTCTTACCTTCCCTGGAATAGTAATAGTGTACTGGCAATTAGGGTTCTAGGGCCCAATAGGTATTACCCCCTTTTTTCTCTGCATTATGCTTGGTTAGTGGTCCCGCGAGGCCAACACCCCGCCTCACACTCGGAGGCATACACCCCTCGGGCCACTCGTGAGCTAGCCGCCTCGCATTGTATCATAGAGAGGGCCTCACCTGTCACTCCCCTTCCTATTTTCTGGTTACTGTCACCGAGAGGCCAACATCCTGCCACAATGTTAGGTGGCCACACAAAATCCCCTCGCGCCAAGCATAGATAGAGCCTCTCAAGCCACTTGGCAACTAGCAGGGCCTCACCAGTCACCAAAAAACACCAAGCCTAATCGTTTAGCCTTACGGCTTAGCTAGCAAGCCAGTACAAGAACCCTGGGTACAAATAATTGCATCTTTATTGTTATTTAAGTATTTTTCCAAAAGATGGTGAAGAATCACCTCTTCCTAGCACCCCGGCTAGAATTGATACACCTTCAAGCAGAAGAGATGTGGCTAGTCCTGCAGCAATCAGATCCTGGACGATCCCACACATTACCACCGACCTAAGGAGGTGACAAATCCCCTACCCTGCTACAGCAAGGAAAGCAGAGTTATTCAAACTCCTCCATACATCAACGGACAACACGGAGGCAGGGGAAGGCCCAGCTACATCAACTCAGGTGACACCCAGGCTATGCTAGCCTCACTCATAAACTCATGAGCCAAAAAATTTTATGACAGACTGGCAATCTCGAGTTGGTCACCACAGCCCTCACAAGGCTGGGCCTCACGTTACTGTACAACCAGCACCAACCGAAACTCGGTTACCTGGTACATTCAATTCTTATGACACACAAGATGTTAACCCTGCACGTATGATCCCAGCACATTGGGGAAGCAAGGCATATATATGTATGATGATGTATCTGTGATGGTCAGATTCAGGGATTCCAGGTAAATCGGGAACTGACCATCTCTTGGATGGGTTGGTATTTGGAATATGTAGAGATGTTTATTTGTGCAGGTACCCATACAGAAGGGGTTCTGTCCCAAACAAATGGACGAGCACTCTCAGGCTCCAGGTACCAGCACCTCTGAACTACCAGAGACGATTGATATGAGTAGTTGCATTGCATATAGACTGTTGCATATATGTTCAAATGGTTCAGGGCACATGACAAACCATGTGGCCCAATACAACTTACAAATAACGTACTCACCATCTGTACACACCAATGCATTTTCAACACTACTGACTCTTCACCCTTCCAGACTTGTAGTAGATTTACTAAAGCTCTGGAGCTTCAAAGGGCTCCCATACAGGTATCATAAACACACCTTCAAGGAATATAGCATGCCCTCACTTACAGTCAGCACAACAAAATCATTGGCTGAAAACACTCTCATAGCCAAGATTTGCAGAGTGGTCTTCCAATCTCCACCATTTACAGCATGGCACCAAACACACACATTGGTATTGTCACAAGGAATCTTCCCTTAAACAAAGACTAACCATAGACTTATTGGCACCACACACCTCCGCTACCCCAAGTCTCAACTCCCTTCTTACTATACAACACCATTGATCTACCTTTACAGCTATCACTCAAGCATGGGTTAAAGCTTGGTTAAGTAAGACCAATATCATCAACGCAGTAAACAGCTACCATCTACCCTACACACTGGCACTTACATGGCATAAATTGGGCAATCCTTTCCCTGCTCAACTTTCGAGCTACAGATTAACCTACTATCGATATTCGCAGATACTCTGTGCTGGTTATGATAACATATCCAGAGGCATTACAGTCATACACTATCTAGAAGACTTCTTGTTGCTCAAAGAAAGCATATTTTTCACTAGAAGCCTCATGGCAGCTTAGTCTGGTTGACCACTTGGGCGTCCCAGTACCCCATAAGAAACAGAAGGCGCAGACACTATCATCACATTACTGGGCATATGACTTGAGTCGGCATCCATACACGCAAGTTACCACAAGACAAATAGGGAACATTCTCAACTAAATCAATCACTACCTCCTGCTTAGTACTTACAACTACAAGGAACTACAATCCCTACCAGGTTCCTTAATTTTGCCATGCCAATCATACCACAAGACCACGCTTTCACATCCAGAGTACTTTCCCCTTTTTT